AGAGTTCTTTTTTTTTTTTTTTTAAGTTGTTGTGTATTTAAGTAATCTCTGTACCCAACGTGGGGCTCGAACTCATGACCCCGAGATCAAGAGATGAACGCCCCTCCAACTGAGCCAGCCAGGCGTCCCGATTTGTAAGAGTTCTTTCCATTGTGTGACATATATGCTCCGTGATTTCTGCAGTTTCGCATTTGCCTTTTAACTTTGTGGTAATTTATTTACGTAGTTAAATCAGTCTTTGTGAATGTATGTATATTCATGCTTTTTAATTTTAAAATCACATGCTTATTTGAATACTACAGGAATATTTAAAGTAGAAAAGGAAGTCTCTTACAACCTCATTCCCCAGAGATAATCATTGCTAAGAGCTGGGTAAGTATTTTTCCAGATTTTTTTTTCTATTCATAGGCACACATGCATATATACATATACATTTTTAAACACAGAGTTCTAGAAATTTCTTTGCTTTCCACTTAAAATACGCCATATATAGATCTACCTTATTTTTTTGTGACTGCGGCATTGCAAGTCTGTGTATGAATATAGCACAACTTACTAATTACTCCCTCACAGAAAGAATGTTAAGGGCATTCTATTGGCATTAGCATGATTTTTTGTTCTCCCAACAGTGGTTGATGCTCACTTTCAAGAGAGCCTCTTCATAGTGGGATTTGGATTCATGCAACAAGAGAGACGCATAGTGTTGGGATATCCGATCAAACAGCTTATTCTGGATCTCCTTGTTTGGCTACCAGGAATAAGAGTGGAGACGGAATTACTAGAGCCTCCTGATGAAACGGCTAAGGTCTCAGGTTCTTAAATACGTACTCCTCTTATTCTCGAGAGGTTGAACCTCCTGTCATTTACAAAATAGTACGCTGATTTTTATAGGATTTATGAAATCGATTTAAACGTGGGGCGGATTGTTGAAGAAAGTGCGCAAACTCTGGGGTGGGAGGTCCCGACCCTGCTCCCGGCCCTGTGCTTGACCAGCCATGTGTCAGGGACCAGTTCCTGATGCTCAGGAGGCTACGGGACATTGTGCGGAGGCTGAAGCACAGGATGGATGGAAGAGGCACGGGTGGGGAAGGGAAGGGGTGGCAGATGGGGCTGCAGGGGTGCTCCATAGAATCAGAGAGCCTGGTAGCCCATGTTAGAGACATTGGGGTTTATTCCATAGAAAAGTAACTTAAGCAAGGGAGAGAAGCACGCAGATTTACCTGGTACCTCTCGTGAAAGATCCACCAGAAGCTATCCAGCCATATGGCTCTTGGAGAAGGAGAAGAGAGAAACTTCTCTAATTCTCTATCGGAACAGAAAGACTTGGGAAGAAAAAAAAAACACAACAACAACAACAAAATTCACATTATTATTGCTGTTGTCTTTGAAAACACAATTTTTCATTGTTTCATGATTTCACTGTGGCTGTGGAGCCACAACCAGATTAATAATCCTCTCCGTTCAGAACCCGCCTTTCCTCCTACGTTCCACAGCTTGTTATTGTCGCTAACCACACCATCTTCCCACCCGTCATCTTTGGAGTCAACTTAAAAGAAACACTTACCCTTTTAGTTTAGTGAGTGCCGACTATTTGCCTTTCCAGGCATTTTACACATTCTCATCTAACCGCTAAGATAATCACACAAGGCGTGTGACCACTATCCCCATTTTACAGACGAGCCAACTGAGGACCGAAGAGCTGAAGTCTCTTGCCCAAAGAGATACAGCCAGCGAGTGGCAGAGCCAGCACTGGAATCTGTAACTGGAGGCAGCTTCCCCGTTCTGTCACCTACTCCGATCAGCGGCAATCAACAAACACACACGCTACACAGCTGCAAGTCACCGGACCAGGAGATTCTGCGGGGTTCACGGTGAGCACATGCAACTCTAAAATCAGAATTATCAGTGAACTCGGAGGGGCGGGAAATTCAGACTTCGTTGCAAGGCGACCCGGTAACCTGACTCTGATTCCAGAGCTACCATCGTAATAGCGTAATGACGTGTAATATTTGTTGAATGTTTACCATGTGTCTGGCACAGGGCTGTGCCCTTCACCCCTCACCTCGTTTCGTTTGTTACCATCTAGGTGGTAGCTACTACAGGCAACCCTGGTTTATAGAAGAGGAAAGGGAGGGTCCGAAAGTTTAGGACTCTTGCCCAAGTTCGCATGGCCGGGGAGGCTCTGGAGCAGGCAGCTTGACCCCAGAGACACCACACACGCTGCCTCTTAGCATTATGAGGAGCAAAGAGATCCCATTCCTGCCCCCTCTTGGATGCAAAGGGGGAGACTCCTTGGCTCTCCCTTCAGGCCTATGGAAGCTGGGGGCAGGGTGCGTGGATAAGCCTCCCTCATCGGCAGGGAGTTCTCTGAGCCCAGCTCTCTGCTTTGTCTTTTTCACCGTTCCTCACGTTTCCTTAGAGAAAACATACAGTCAGAGCAGTTCAGAGCACAGACTTCGAATCCAGCTGGATTCAAATCCAGCTCTTATGCTAAGAAGCTGTGTGGCCTTGAGCAATGTTATTGAACCTGTATGTGCTCAGCTTCCTCAACCAGACGACAGAGGGAAACTGAAGGACTCCATAAGAATCTGCTTTCTGTGGGAGGCCTGAGTGGCTCAGTCGGTTAAGCTTCTGACTCTGGGTTTTGGCTCAGGTCATGATCTTGCGGTTTGTGAGTTCGAGCCTACTTGGGATTCTCTCTCTCTCTGCTCCTCCCCAGCTAATGCTCTCTCTCTCAAAATAAATAAATAAACTTAAAAAAAAAAGACCCTGCTTTTTGCTCCCTTTTCCTCTTCTATTCTTGCTAGGACCTGCACACCCCACTTTACACAAGCCTCATAATGCAAATGGTGCCTGTCCTCCTTGTAAAGTACGAGGAGTTGATGATTTCTTTAGAATAGACATCTAGGGGCGCCTGGGTGGCGCAGTCGGTTAAGCGTCCGACTTCAGCCAGGTCACGATCTCGCGGTCCGTGAGTTCGAGCCCCGCGTCAGGCTCTGGGCTGATGGCTCAGAGCCTGGAGCCTGTTTCCGATTCTGTGTCTCCCTCTCTCTCTGCCCCTTGCCCGTTCATGCTCTGTCTCTCTCTGTCCCAAAAATAAATAAACGTAGAATAGACATCTAAGGGAGGACCGGGTGAGAATGACCAGAAAAACCATCATATGCACATTCCGGACCACGGATGCTAAACATCTTGATGCCAAGACCCCCGGGCTCCAAGGAATAACACCTGGGCCTTGGTCTTTGTTTTAACCGTTCCCGGATGCCTGAGAGGACACATACACCGGAACACCATCTTCAGTAAAAACCCTAGACCCCAAACATAGGCAAGATTCATATCCCTTTCCTTTCTGAGTGTCCCAGACACTCTGTCTCTACCTGCACTCTCTCTATACCTTTAATAAACTCTGCTTTCACTTCCTGCTGGCCCCTGTTTGATTTCTATCCTGTGTGCAGCCAGGGACCCTTGGACCCAGCCTACCAGCATCACGGAGAATGGAGAGGACAGCGATCGTCCCTGCCTCGAGGACTGCCATGACCGTTACATGAGTGAGTGACACACACAAAGTGCTCAGAACAGTGTCAGGCACTTAGGAAACACTCACTAAAGGTGTGCTAGCTCTTACTTATTTATTCACACTCTTGCTTCCTTTCAAAAAGTTCATTTCAGCCCTTCAACAGCTATTTACTGAGCACCTACTAGGTGCCTAGATGGTGATGTAGAGTCCCTGCCCTGGAGACGTTCACAAGTAAGCAGACATTTATAATGCAGTGTGATGGGTGCCTTAAAAGAAGGAATCCCAGGGGCATATAGAGGGGCTCTGGGGTATCGGGGAGAGTAAAAATGACTGGATGGGGGTGCCTGAGTGGCTCAATCAGTTGAGGATCTGACTTCGGCTCAGGTCGTGATCTCACAGCTCATGAGTTCGAGCCCTGCGTCGGGCTCTGTGCTGACAGCTCGGAG